TTGCATGTTACAATTGGTTTAAGCAAAAGAAAATAAATAGTCACGTTACAATTTCCGACACATAAGGCATCTATGTCTTATGGCATATGTACGTGTGGCAATAAGAACAAAACAAATATGTGCTCACTGCACACATGTAAGCGACACCAACAATATGTTTTTTTTTAAATTTGTATATTTTGGCCTTTGAAGAGAAGAAAGTGGTCTTTACTAATAAATAGTAATCTCATCTATTGCATTTGTAAAATCGTCACTGACTTTCTTTTCACTTGCTTACAAAAATTCCATTTTGTTTGCCAAAAAGTAATATAAGAAAAACACAAGACCGAACGAGCACACACACACACACGTTTGTTATCCCAAAAATAAAGAATAGTTTGATATATGACTTTGGATGCGGAAAATAATGTCTATAACTTTCAACAAAGTTGTCTTTTAGCCGGCATAAGAAGCTTTCGGAAGCCGGAAAATCAGTATATATTGGAGAGAATTTAGACTTGAGGGAGAAAAATTGTCATACGGGCCGCACAAAATAAACATAATGCTCACACTCAGTAAGGTAGCAGTCGCTTGTATATGAATTTTTAATGATTTAGTATGCACATTAAATTTCCACTTGTATGGCAATCTATTTCAAAAGTATGACAGTGACAGTGGTGGATGCAGTTTGCATGGTGAAACAAGAAAATAGGAGAATTTTTTACTTGTTTTTTTTTTTACTTTTAGTAAAGAACTAAGATCAGATTTAGTAATTTGACATGTTTGCTGAACTAAAACTGAATTCCTTTGGCTAAGTTAGTTATCATTGAAGTCAAGAATTTTCATCATCGGATAAACTGTATTTCATTTGTCAACACCAAATCGGGTTACCTTTTTACATTCTCCATCATCCAATTAAAATATTTGTGTAAATTCATTAATTAAAATTCAAATAAACCGCAACATTTAAAATACAATGGATCCACTTTTATTGAGATAAAACGTAAATTCTTTCATTTTATGCTAAATTTTTTGGCCGACATTTTTGTCCAATTACGGGATCATTTTGGATCATTAACAAAAGTGGAAAAGGGTCATTTGATTGATTTACATAATGTCAGCTCTTTCATTCATGGTTGATTGCAATCAAAACGAACCAAATTGATGGGGTACACTCTCCAAGTGGTCAATTTCATTTTTTATTCAGGAATACCATTTCGAGCGTGTTTATTTTTCATTAAAATTTTTGACGCTTCGTTTGCTATCACCGCCTGAACTTTTGTGCCAAAAAAGATGTAGATAATTTGTGTCTTCTTTTTTTTAATCAAATTTTGATGGTCAATTCTGTTTTTTATTTCAACATTTCTTCTCTATCTCTTCCTATGTCTATCTCTATTTGCCTCTTGTGCATACACACAAAGATTGCCACTTATATTGCCTGCTCCTTTTTAAATGCAAATCTATTGTGGGATGGCCCAGTATATAAAACTCAAAAACAGAAATATATGGCATTTAATGACGATTTCAAAGGCAAAACGAAAAAAAAATATGTTAAAAGCATCGCCATGCAGCCAACAAACGTGGTGAAAATAACAATAACAACAACAATATCACCACCAGTTACAAAACAATGACGGCAATAGTGACAGTGGAAAAAGGATTTTATCCATGGGCTATTTAGTATTTACAGTGAAATTTAAAATTACAGTTTAATCTAGATTTTATCTAAGTATAAAAGCCAAGAAAGATAAGCAATGGTACATAGTCAACTCTCTTTCAAAGTCTCATGTGCCTACTTTTAGCCAACCGACCGAATTTGAAAGGCTTTTTACATTTCTATTATCTCTGTGTCGCACACATTTGCCACTTTGGCGTGTATGTGTCGGTATCAGTTGATATACAGGGATGTAGGCCGGTTACAAATGACGACAACGGTTCATTTACATTTTCTACACACATGCCCTCTCTCTCACTCACTCACTCTAACCCCATCTCACACTGTTTTTCTATTCCTTGCTCATGCCTCTACTCGAAAATATAAACAATGCACAGGCGGACCGGATTAAATAGATTAGAAATTTGCATATACGCTTCCATATTCAAAGAATTTCTGTGAATGCGTATGATGTTATTTAATGTTAGCGAACGTTTTGCATTTTAGCTCTCGTATTTTCTCATTTGGTGTTTGTTTTATTTTTCCTCTGTTCGTTCTTTATTGTACATTTCCGAAGGTTTTTTCATTTCGAGCAACGGTCATGGTTAAGAAGCAATATGTCGAGCGTTCAATATAGCACCTGTAAAAAGGTCACTTCTTCGCGCATAAATGTGTTGGCCAACGCATTATTCGTCTTTATTTCGGAGATTAAATAGATCAAGATGCCTCCCATTTGCAAAATATTCGATGCCGATCGATTTAGAGTTGAAATATAGTGGTACCAAGACAGTTATCACAACAGACAATGTGCCATATAGAGTGTCAGTAATGGCTTACCTTCACATTCAAATGTCTAGAATAGATTCAAATAAAGACACCTTATCACATATCGAACACATTTAGTTTTAAAATCAATGATTCTACTTTATCTATTTCATTCATATCATGATAGTGACGAAATCACATCAATGTCAACGGTGACATCGAAGGGGTCTAATTTTAAAAAGTATTCTATCGAAAATAGAGATTTGATATGAATTCTCGACGGATTGAATCACAGGTAACGATAATGTACCTAAATCTGGATAAAAATTGGATAATCTCAGTAAAAATTTTCGCTACGATATCGGATGTATAGTCGAATGTCCGCACATGTCAAAGTCGAAACTCGGGACTAGGATTAAATAATTGTACCAAAAAACAAGTCTTCCACGATTTCCACGAAGAGAAACCTTCTATTTTTACAATTGGTCGTAGGTCTGCACAACGCAATTCAACACTGACGGTGGTGATTTTAAATTTTTGATTCATCATGGCTGTCATTGTAAGCTGTAGTGGACTTCTTGTAATAAAAGTAACACACAATCATTATGTCCACTATAGAGGATATAGACGATTTTAAGAATTTTTGCAATTGTTAATGTGCACTACATCCAAACGAAATTGTTGAATAATTCTTAACTTCGTTAATTTCTGCATACAAAGGGGGTCTCAAATTACCATTACCAATATACTGGCGATAAAACCCCAAAACCTTGACAGTAATATACGTATTATAATGATTTTGAAAATCGAAGGGACCCAGTTCAAAATCATAGACATAAGTCCAAAGGATTAACCGTACAAAGGCGCATTTTCTATATTGCGCAGTCATGAAAATTTTGCACAAAGGTAAAATGTCGAATTATTGGTGTACCATTTCTTTTGGATACTATTTAATCGTTGTTTATCTCAAAGGTATTGCCAATTAATTGAAAATGCTGTCAACATATCGAGCCCGGAGCGACATAAATTCCGATAACAATGCAAACAATGCAATATGTCTATGCGGGCGATTAGTAACAATGTATTCGATTAATTATAATCATTCAAACGTTCATCCATGAGATGAAAGCTAAAATTCCGATACGAAATTAAAAAAAAAAACAATTCAACTGTCGTCTGCAAATGATGTCAAAAACTGTTGGTAATTTACCAATATGCTTCGTTGTGCCAAAAATATAAAGCTTTTATCGATTTTCATCGCCCACCGTCGTACGTCCAGTTTCAAGTATGTTCTTGACGCGTCTCAAAGCTGTAACGAAAACCAAGATGAAAATTATCGTTGATATTGTAATGACGATTTCATAGCCGTTGGCCTATTAAAAGTTGTTAATTGCAAAAAGAATACAAAGAAGAAAAAAGACGTCATTTCAATTACTTTAGATTTTAATTTTTTTTTTATTATTTTCCATTTCAATAATAGTTTTGTAATTATTTCTCCAAACCATTTCATAACAGAGATTTTTGAATATTTTTTGTTTGTTGTTGCCATCTTTGCACTTCTACTTCTCGATTCCATTGTTATTTTAGTCACTTTGCCTTTTGTGAGTGTTCGTCTTTCTCATTCAAATTTAGTTCAATGAAACTTTTAATGATTTTTGTTGTTGTAATTTTATTAAGTTTTGTTGTTGTTGTGTTTCGTTCTTTTTTTAAATTTTAAATTAATTGATTATATTTTATTCATACTCCTTTAGAGGGTACTCTTTTGTAGCCTGATATATAAATAAATCATAAAATTTGTATTTATTAACAAGCTGTATCACACATAAAATCTTTTGAAATTGTAGTTATTCTTTAATCATTCCTAATTGTGTGTGTCTGTGTGTGTTTTGTTTTTTTTTTTATTTTAATTTAATGTGTTGTGTTTTTGTTTGTTGTAAATTTAAATTTTTACTCGTTATTATTAATTCTTAATTTTATTAGCGTTACGATTTAAACTTCGTTTTGTTGTTGTATTTGCTTCATTTATTTAATGATAAACATAAACAATTTTTCTTATTGAATAATTTTTCGTGTTTATCATTTTTAGCCATAACCTAAACACACAATTGATTTTCAACGGATAAATTAAAATGCCAATTGTGTGTGTGTGTGTTTGTTTTTTAAGTGTTTCTGTAGGATGAGCAGTTATATAAGGAAGGTAAAATTAATAATATACAAAAAGAAACAGACCGGTTCCGTTATAATCTATAAAATAAATTAAACATTTCCAGCAGTGTCTATTACAATGCATTCCTTCAATAAAAAATAAAATAGCATATTTTCGACCAAATTAAATTCATACAATTGTATTTGCTCAACAATATTCTCTTTTCGTCAATTTATGTGTTGTTTTTCCATAATAATTTGTGTTTTTTTTTTCTTTTGTTCAGGTTAATATTTTTAGTCATTTTTGTTGGGGTGTAAAATGTTCTTTTTTGTTGTTGTTGAAAATATTTATATTTTCGTAAAATTGATTTATTATCGGGTGTGTTTTACTTCATTTTTTGCGATTTTCATTTGTGAAATTGGAATTTCTTTCTACAATAAATTTTGTTTGTTTGAAAAAAGCGAAAAAGAATCGTATGACATGCATTTTGTTTGATGGTATTTTTTTATGTACTATATATATTTTTAAATTTTGTTTGTTTTTATATTTCATTTTGACTATGAGCGCATATTCGATGTGATGCCTGGCCGATTTATTTGTGAATCGTATAATTGCAATTTAATCGAACAGAGCTGCCAAAATGTCATCGTTGTTTGGATTATTGCTTGAACCGCTTGACGGGGGCGTATTCAAATTTGGTGGATCCAAATATGATAATAGTTCGATGGGATCTACGACACTATCTGGTAGTAGCTGGAAACAAGAAAATAAAACCATTAAAATGTTTGAACATTGAAAAAATATTCGAAATGAGAGAACAAAAACGATTTTTCCACTTACATTCAAATCATTTGTACTGCTACCGTCAATAACAGCAGCCGGATCAAAATTGAGATCAGAATTAAGATCGAGCAAGCTGCCAGTGTTACGGGAGTTTGCGAGTGTATTCGACGATAAATTATCCATTAAGTTTTGATTATTCATATTGCTTTTGTGTTGCGGTGATTGATTTTGGGCCGGTGATGAATTATTCGCATTTATGTTACTGTTATTATTCGTTTCATTGTAGATGGATGAAACGCTTGGAGGTCCACCTGGTGTCAATGGATGAGTTGCCGCTGCTGCTCCAGGTGTGTGCGGTGTGTGTGGCATCTAAAGAAATTTATTCAAATAAATACTTATTAATTTGCAAACTCAAACGAGATAAGGAATATTTAAAATTGCTTTCTTAATAAAAAAAAACAGTTGTCCGCTTTTGGGTTAAAGTGCCCTTGAGATGTCAATATATTTCATTTTGGTATTTAATTTTTTAAGAAAATCTCATTGCCCTTCAATCCATGAATGGCATGTCAGTCTTTGAGTAAGTTCCAAATTGGTTAAATTTTCGGTACAATATAATATTAAACTTTTGCTGAATGCTTTAAGCCTCAAAGAAAAGCTTCAATTTTACATCAAGCTTATTGCAGTGGAGACGGTTGAAAAGCACGGTTTGCATGGTAAACATTTCGTTTTCAATAAAGTCATCTAGTATCCATCACACTTGCAAATTTGTTGATGTCCTCGCATGTGGAACATGATTTTACACTGCCATATATTTTATGTTTGCAAAATTTTCCGAATAGAAATTGGATTTGGTACAGTCTATTCATATCGAAAAATCATTGCGCATGTCATCTAGCCGAGACGAACACCATCGTAAAATGCACAAAGATCGAGTACGTTGTGTGTTCGGTTCTTTTCGATTGTTTTATTTTCTTGCTTTTTCCTATATGTCTTGCTAGTGCCTTCTTCTTATTCTGCTGGTGTCTTTGTTGTTATCTCCGCGCCGTATGAATGCGAAATGTCAACTCTATGTCTTCATTCAATGCAAAACCGTAGTGGGTGGAGTATGGAATTGAAAATGTTAGCGTAATTGAGGATGTGCATTTGCGCATCAAATCGTTTTGTTTGCAAACAATTTCCAATTAAATTAGTGTTGCAGTGGTAGTGACTTTAGAGAGCGTGACACAGAACCATACATATGCAGATATAGATTTTTGTAACTTTTACATATGCCAATATAATTGCAATCGATATATATCCATCGTCACTCATATTCAATATGAACATGAGCATATTTATGTACCTCGTTTATTGTTTTTTCCATGGCATTCAATGGATCAATAGCGTTCACAGATTCACTTAAATGTGCTAATGGATTTCCATGACTATAGTCTCCCGTTGGTGCCACACTTGTGCCAGATGCCGAACCGTTGTCATAATTTCGATTGCTATTCGATGTGAATAATGAGCGAGTGAAAGAGATAGAGAGAAAGAGAGCATTAAATAAATTGAGTCATGAGAGGAATATGACATATGATTCAAGTGAATGTTTAATTAAATTCGTTCAATTGGCTTACTTTTGTCCTATCATGCTGCCGCTCGCAATTGAGTTCATGTCAGGACTCATGTAGGGGCTCATTGCCTGTGAATTGTCCCATGATGGAATTTGTGTTGAACCAGGCGATACCACATTGCTTGACAGCCGCTTTGTTTCACTATCCTCCTCCGTCTGCGAGATAGAAAAAGAATGACACAAAAAAAAACGAAATTCATCAATTTAACATGCAATATGCTATGCATACGTGCATAAAACAAATCAAAAATTACAACATACCTTAATATTGGTTGCGCCAACATCATGAACTGATTTCCAATTACCATCCGAAAAGATAGTGACCTCCTCAATTGTAGTTGAGCTCAATGTATTTAAAATTGCCCAAATATATTGATCGATTTCAAGTCCTTCGGTTAACGCCGGTTTACTGCAGAGCGCAAAGTAAAAAGTACACACAAAAAAAAAACATGAGCAAATTGTCGAAAATGGCTTTTAAAATTTCATCACATTTCAGGTCATACACATCAATGATGACCGAATTACTTACTTGCACACAAGACATCGCCAACTACCACGTTCACGATTCAAATGTAAATAGGATTCTAAATCAAAACATTGAATGTGTTTGCAGTCATGACCTCGTGCCGGTAGTGTTATCCGTTTAAATGTTATGGGACACATTAACGAAACCTATTGGCGCACAGAAATAAAAAAAAAATCGAAAATCCATTAGATTTTGACGAGAAGATGCAATATTCCATAAATATTTATGTGAGCAAAAATGTAACAAACCTTAAGCGATGCTTGATCTGTTGTTGGATCTTTATTTTCACTGGTTAGTGTTTGACTAGAATTGAAATTTCGTTTAATTTTGGCAACACACTGGTCCACCGATACCAAACTCCGACGTAATAGACCCTGCAGCGCATGCCGTATCGTAGGTCGATGAACTAATTGTAACACAAACAAATGAGACTGCAACGGAAGAAGAACAAACAAAAAATCCAAATGAATTTATGTGAATTAATTTTGACAATTCGGTTGTTGTTTTTATTTTCTGTCGCAAATTGTATTATTTTCAATGTGATTGATTGATTAATTAATTAACTTACGCAACAACACGCGCTAACTGTAATCTGAATGGTATTCCGCCCTGAAAATATTTTATATTGAATGTAACAACGTTCAAATAAATTTTTATTATTCTACATCAATTTATTGGAATTTAACACACCTGGTTGGCAAACGCGTTTCAAATACAACGGTCGATGGGAATTTTTATTTTCGCCGCGATCAATAATCAACGGCGTTGCGTTCGCCGACACTTGAACGCTTGCGGGCCAATTTGTGTTCATTTGACGATCCTCATGATGAAAACACTTCAATTGCACCTCTAGATCCGATCTGATATAATGAAACACACCAAAATAATTACACATCTCATATTCAATCGAGATTTACAAAATAAAGTCAATCAAAGACCGAGGGGGGAAGGAGACAACAAAAAATCACAATGTCATTTTTTCGAACGAAATTAACCCAGTTCAATATAAATTCGAATCGTTCGCATAAATAAATTTAAATATCAAGTGAATAAAAAGAGAAATAATAACAACATTTTTATTTGTTAGAGGTTTTCCAGAGGCTACCCAATTTCATCATTCATTCAACTTGTTTCAAGTGAGTCATGATTTAACATTATCAGCCATTATAGAATCCACTCATTCTCGTTTTTTTTTTTTGGTTTTCTTCGAATGGCAAATGTTCGTTTCTATTTGGGGTCAATAATAATTTACCTGTTCAGCAACGTATTGTATACTATGGGTTTCAATTGGAATACATGATTACTGACGGCCAAATTATGCTCCAATCGAAATGGTGGCAAAATAATGCCATCACGTACGGGGAAGGTAAGTCGCAATTCATCGTCTTCTGTGAAATTGAGAAAGTTTTTAAAAAAATGTTGAAATTTTAATGAATGCCAATTTTATGTGCATTTTTTTCGAATATTTATATGGATGGTTTGCATATTAAAAATGCATTTGCAATTGCATAATCACAATAAACAGATCTATTTGATATTGTAAAAGAAAGCTGAAGTGGACTTACTTTGCATAAGATGTGGTTTGATATCTGGATTTGGGCTAACATACGGAGTCAATGATGTTGCTGCTGGGAATAAAAGCATACACACAAACATAAGTGAAATGAATTTCAGCAGAATTTAATTCGACACATTTGATGATAATCTTCTCATTCAATATGTTTTTTTTTGTTGAAACATTAGAGTTTAATCCATATATGATTCGAAATCAAGTGCAAATACGTTTATTTCATTTACTTACGTTGATTGCTTATTGAGGGTGTTAATGGTGGCGTTGGATTTCCAGGTACTGGACTGTGTTGATAATTTAATCGTACGTCTTGTTGGAAACTACATGGTCGAAGAGTGAAAATGCCAAAAATTAAAAAAAAAAATGATGTTACAACTATCACAAGCGACCAATGATTGCTTTCTTTAGTTCTTACCCCTGAATGTTTTGATAGCCCGCTTGATTCATATTATTCATGTTGTTCATATTGTTCATGTTATTCATATTATTCATGTTGGCGTTCGGAACGGGATGATTATAGTATTGTGTTTGATGATTGTTCGTCATCATGCCTGCTGCAGCTGCTGTTGCTGGTGAATTGCCCTGGTTCATGTTGTATTGTGGAGCTGTCATATGAAAGTGTGCTATTAGCATTTCCGAAATCGATTGTAAAAACACAAAGCTTAATGTGCGTGCTTATTTGTGTTTTGGTTTGCATTTGTTTTTTCTTGTTTCCGCCTGAGTGCAGCACTCAACATTTAATTACAATAATATAAATAATATATTTTACCGGGTCTTTGTTGTGGCATCATTCCCGAACTTGGAACACGAAGATATGAATTGTTGGCAGCGGCGGCGGTGGCCATTGTATTGGCACCGGGCCGTATGTAGTTTTGATGCATTGGTGACGGCACTGGTCCGTAATTTTGTTGGTTATGCTGTTGATACATTTGATTCGGTCCCATATTTTGTGCTGGTGCCATTTGATGGTGATGATTCATTGGATACATGCCACGTTTTTGTGCCGCATGCATTTGTGCTGTGGGATACGGTGACATTCGACGCGTTGGATACCTGTGTATTTCGTAAATATATATTTAGTATGCAAGGATATGTTCATTCATTCGCCAGTTCATCAGAACGGCAATTAGTCTGTGTCGACAGCGACATATAGCGAAATAGATCTAATTAGTCCAAAAATTCATTTACCCATTAGCCATTCCTTGCATTTTCGCCATTGGATTATTTGTTTGCTGCATGTCATTCATTTGATTCAATTGTGCTATTGCATTCATGTTCATATTAGTATTGGTCATTTGATTCATGGGGTGCATCTGTGAGTGGAAAACAAAAGACAAACATGTAAATAAAAAATCCCACACACACTCACACACACACAAAGAGAGAGAGAGAGATTTTTCAGTGTTGATTCATGAATGTTGACAAAGAACAAAGATTATCTCAATTGGGAAAAGCATATACACATATAGACATGTATGTGGATACGTTTTTTTTCCCACAAATTTAATGGGGAAAAATGTATACCTGTTGATTCTGTGCATTTAGATACTGCCGTGATGCATTGTTATAATTCATTCCGTTCAGCGGCGCCATATTATTCATTTGAACCATATTGGCATTATTCTTGCCATTATTCATGAACGAATGATTGTTTTGATTTTGCATATTCATATTGCCTAACTGCCAATTCCAAAGACAGAGAAAAAGATTGAAGAAGAAAAAAAAACGAAAAAAAAACATAAGTTTTACACAACATAACAAATTAAAAATGAAATACAAATACTGAAGCTGGTCTTGATTTGGACCAGCAATCTAATTATGCCAAAATGGCATAAAGAAAGAGAAAGACACACATAATGATAGAGACTAAGAGAATGATTGACACTTTGTGTCGCTCACCAAGAACTCACCTGTGAATTGAAACACATATCCATGTTTTGTTGACTTCCTGTTACAGCAACCATATTTAAATTACTTTGCACATGGTTATTATTTACATTAAAGTTCAAATTGGTACTAGAATTGTGTACTTCAGAACTTTTCGGATGGTGTTGTTGATTTTGTTGATGTTGCTGTTGTTGTTGGTGGTGGTGGTGGTGTTGGTGGTGTTGATGAAGGGTATGATGATTTGGATGTTGCTGTTGCAACTGCTGCTGTTGTTGATAAAAACGTGATTGTTGCTGTTCGTGTTCGTACTGATAGTTTTGGTCAAAGTGATGCATTTGCGAATTATATCTAAAAACGAGAAACGAGACGAAACATTTGAATTTGTTGGAAACTTTCCATGCGAAAATACACACACACACACACATACAACGAACGAAATGAGTGTATTGCATATTTAACTTACAACAAATTCAGGCTAAAAATTGGATTCAATTTTTTTGCATAATTTTCTTTCTAAATGACAGAATTAAAATTCTGGGAATTTTCACACAGTGCCAATTTGTTTGAGCGTCCAGGAATGTAAGTGTTTTGATTGACTTGACTTGGCTTGGTTGGCGTTGTTATTATGGTTTTTATTATTATACGACTTCTGATAAATTGAAGGCATTAGGGACGCTTCAGCGATTGATGAGAAACCCAAAAATTTCATACCGCGAACAATCCTGTAAAATGAAACGAATAATAAAAAATTAAAACAATACAATGGTTAGTGTTTATATTCATGATATATGAGGTATGTATGGAAACAAAAATGGCAAAGTATGTTCGTTAAACGGCATTTTGTAATGTGAACGTTCGACGAAAAAAAAACTCTATTGAAAAGTGTCATTTAGAACGAAGGTGACATGATTGGGTTTATTTTCGCAACAGCGAGCCAAATGACACATAATCATACACACAGGGAGAGTGGAATATAGTTGGCTACAATCGTACCGATATAAAGAGAAATTATCACATTTTAATTTCGCAACCATTTTTTTTACTTAAATTCTCTCTCGCCATTGAACCGAAATGCGATATATATATAATATTGTGTTGGCATTTCGAATGTATAGATTAATATATGTATGTCGCCCAGTGAAACACATAATTGCATACTTTGGCACATTTATACATTGGCTACATACATTTTTACTGTTTTGATTTCAATTGCGTCGTCGTCGTTATGTTACGTAACACAAAAAAAATTGTTTAATTGAAATATCTGCGTGTATTTTGGTCAAAAAGTCGTAAAATCAATATGAATTACTCTCGGCAGTCGAGGTTGAAAACCTGGTGGCGTTTTGGTCTCTCTGTATGTGAGAGTGAAAAAAATATGCAAGCATCTGGACTGTAGTTTATTAAGCATTATGCACACAAATCGATTTTAAAAATCGCATCAGTTTTATAATTTTACCCGCAACATTTTCGGTCAACAACAGCGGCTTCAACAACTGACACAAAAATTGCACAAACACAAAACAATTCAATTCGAATGGGAGAACAGAGAGATGTGGAAGAAACAAAATCTCTGTGCCAGTTCAATGCAATCCATTTAACTATCACGTAATCAGCATTTTTACTGACTTTTTCATCGGCAATAGGACGGTATGTGTGCGACCGAAACAACACACAAAACATTTAAACGCATTGCAGAATGGTAAAACAATTAAATGTCAAAAAAATAGTTAAACGTGTGCGAAAGTGAATATTAAATGGAGTCACAAAGGATTTTGTTATATTCAATCTGTCGATTGAATGGTGTGTGCGTGTGTGTCTGTTTGTATGAGTTCATGCTCATGAAAAGATATAAAAACAAAACGATTTCTACAAAATGGGATGTGACATAAAAATGTCGGCCGCTTATTCATAAAGTGACAATCTTGCGATCACCAATTTGAAAAAGCGAACATTTTTCACGTGAAACATATCCATATGTTTTTGTTTTCTTTATTCGATTTCGCTTCAAAACGTAAATTTGTAAGAAATTGGTGTGCACGACATTTTGCACACATTACATTCACTGATAGTCTCTTATTGTATCGCCATGTCTCGGAAGGTCATTGTTCCAAATGCGAATCAACAAAATAAGTCGCACACAATTCGGTTGTTTTTCCCCTCCTTCTCTCTCTCTGTTCTTTATTTTATTTTACATTCCAGCTCGATATCGACACTTGCCGCCAAACCGACAAGCTAAACGAACATTTTATGTATTAGCGAACAATGCAATAAAATATCACCTTAAAGCCAATTGATGATAAATTTTCATTAGAATAATGGAGAGATTTGAATAATGGCATTTTAAATTAAGTAACGACTGTCAAGTCATTTGCTTGATAGAGCTTACAACACCGTTCTTTGGCAGGTACATAGATATGTATACTCTTCCTCGTCAATTAACCCAGATTGCCCGTCCGATCGTACACTTTTCACAACCAGGGTGAATTGAACTCGTTCGGTGTTTTTTTTTCGTTCATTTCTTCATTGTTTTTCTTCAAAAAACATCAACAACAACAACATTCAATTCAATTGTGCGCGATTCGGTTGATCTAATTTTGAGTATTTTTGTGAAATTTATTTTGTAAGGTTGATGGCCAACACATTTCAATAATAAAATAAAGAGCAAAGCTTGTAAGAAATTAGTGTCATTTTGGAGAGAGAGCTGGTTATACATGGGAATTTGTTTGTTATATATGCCATTTACTGTGAACAAGTAAATCTGTATTATCTCTCACACTTTCACAGAAAGTAATTTCATCTGTTCGAACAGATCGCACAATATTTGTCTTTTGATTTACTTCATGCGACCAAAGTCCAATTTAATTACCACGGTGAAATACCATTGAAAATAATGAAAATGTTCAACAACAATCGAAAACAACTAAAATACAAACACTTTTAATATTCGAAACATTTAATGAAATTTCCGAATGACATCCATAAATGGATTTCATTTAAAATTTCAATTAATCTTACATAATTATGTACGGTTGTAATTAAAACTTTCATTACGTTGAAAATGTGATTTGTAATGAACAACAGATGAACGAATGAAATACAATAAAGAAAAAAATTGAAACAATATTATATGTTAACATCATCGAAATGTGCGCTGATTTATTTACATCAGTGTGCATTGAGCGAGGAAAGGTGCGCAGAGTTGAAAGCTAAAACATAAAAAAAAACACCGCATTGAAAATATTTACTGTGTAGTCCATCAGAGCAGCAATGATATTATTATTATTGTTGTTGCTTTTTATTGCACAAACACAATCAAATCAAATGCTGTGATTCATTTGTAGTTACATTGATTTGGTTTGAACGCGCTCTGAGTATGAGTTGGAATGTGAGCTTGAATGCATGAAGATGGAATACGGATCGACTTAAAGACGATAATAAACGACATAACCGGCAAATAGCGCAGCAAACGAACGAGAAAGAAGTAGCGGATATGAGAAAAGACAAAAGACAGCGCAGCAAATCGCAATGATTTGATGTGTTTTAAGTATGAAAATTGTATGCAAAAAGACCAATACAGAGCTCATTGAGTTCGTTGTTTGCTGAACAAAGAGACAGCGAGATAAAACCGCAAGCCGAATTAGTGTACCACTTATTGATTGTTGTTAACTCTCACGATCAATGTTGGTTGAATGTGTGTGTGTGTGTATGCTTGTGCTTATTTGGAATGAGCCCGATTCGTTGTGTTTTTGGTTGCATGAGCGCGCGACTCAGAGGGTGCGAGGATCATTTGCCGCACTTTATTGGTGAAAATGACAGCGATCATCGTTCGCTTACATATGCATTGTGGCATTGTTTCTTATGATTGCCATTGCGGTTGTCGTTGTTGTTTTTTAATATCTTTCGTTGTTGCTGTTGTTGCTGTTGTTGTGGTTTAATGTTTCGCTTGTGAATGTTTTGTATTTGTTTGTCGATTGTTTGAAAGAGTGCCGAGAATTGAGTTGAGTTGATTTGATTTTCTTATTTTGATTGTTACTTCTCTCGAATGTATCACATGGCCAATTCTACTGGTGATTTGTGAACGTGGCGAAAGCATTAGTTGATGTTTCCAATTGACTATTCATTAGACAGTGTCGAATATAAACATAAATGTGGAGAGCGCACAACGATTTGTTTCGTTTGTTATGGTTTTTTTTTTTGCTTGTTTCTTCTTCTTTTTCATTTTTAACATTATCTGTGCTTTTTATTCACTTGATCGTTCATTCTATTCATTTGAAGCGGCCAACAGTTAATGGCAAAATAGTTGAAAGATATTTGGAACGACGTGAATAGACAACGGTCTTAAGCGAAAGAAATTTATGAAGAAATGAAGAAAAAAGAGGTATGAAAATTTTTCATTTTTGCTGTTTCATCATCATCTCTCGCTCACCGCCAACCATACACACAACAACTAACTGTAAAAATATTTGATTCAAGAAACGATTTTTCTGCTATAGCCACACACGTACTGCACACACACACTGCACAATTCAAAATATTGTGGAGCAGAGCACACACACGGAGCATAGCAGATCCGACAAAATGAATTAAGAAAAACGAACGAATACGAGGGAAAAATAGAACGAGAGAGAATGGGATAGATAGATTAGAGAAACAGAGAAAATGTAAAATAATGCAGCCAATACTGACTATAAAGACAAAAAGAAAGCATACACAAGCGACAATAACAACGAAAAATGAAGGGAAAAATACACATGAAGAGGAGAGCAAAAAAAAACAAATCGAAGCGAAAAAAATTGTAATTGTGCTACTATTATACATTTGGTTCGCGCGCGCATACGCACGGGTTCATTGCACGATTTTTTTTCGTCTATTATTTTTATTCTCGTACATTCCGTTTTCTTTTCGCGCTCTCTGTCGTTTTTTTTTGCACTGGTGAACAAAACAAGGCGCAAACAAAGCGTGAACCCAATACACGAACTGTGTGCGTAACATATATGCGATTGGTTGACCATCGTGTATATGTATACATATATTCTCATTATGAGTACAATGGATGTTTCTCTCAACTTTGTCCATGCTTTTCTTTTCGGTTCAACGAAATCATTTCGTCTTTCTTTCTTTTTTATTCAAATATTTAATATATATATTGGATGGTGATCTCGATTTCACATTTGACCAAATTTTTATATTCAAAACAAAGTATGTGATCACGTCGTCGCCGAAAGTGTCTCGACTCAATCATAATTTTTCGTCTTCCTCTTCTTTTTTATGTAAATCGTTAAAAAAAAATACACACAGCTTACAGGATAAAAGGAAAATGAAGGTTTCGATAAATAACCGAAAATCCTTGATTGCTGTTGCTCTTCTTCGGACATTTTAATGATCTCGACGATCAATATGATTATTTTCATTGCATTCCATCCGAAAGGTAACTAATAACATGTTTTTGAACTCGCATAAAGCGTTTCACATTGGTAGACATTTAATTGGTGACTCCTTCGAAAGATATAGAATGCATCGAGTGAATGAGTGTGAGAGAGAGAGAGAGAGCATGTGTAAACGAGCCTCAAGATGCCGACAAAGCAGAAAGTGCAAGAGTGAAGAAATAGCAACGACAATCATACAAACATCTCTTAGTCTTTTCGCATAACGAAAACAGCAGAAGAAGAATAGGAAGAAGATTACGATGACGATGACGACGACAAAGAAGAAGACATTGAAT